GTAAGTTTCGTGAAATCATTAAATTTTGTAGCATTTTTGGTGTTGTATAACAAGGAGTTTCAGTTACTGTATTTCTGAACAACAGAAAATTATCAATCTTAATTCATTCTGTATGTAGTCTTTTTGTTCAATGTAATCATTTTAATCACCCCCTGGAAATTTTGAGCATTTAAATATTAAAATCAACGATAAATATATCACTTTTTGAAAGAGCAAAAATGCAGTTTTTAATAAGCATTTGTTCAGCCATTTTGTGATTAATTGCCAGTGGTTTTGAATGGCTGTGGTTTGAAATCAGAGTTTCCAATTCTTGAACTTGTTAGGAAAATTTCAAAAGTATTGCTGTTAAACTTCATGGATCACTACAATCTATCTCGCAACTTTCCTCTTTATCTGATTGTTTCAGGAAGTGCCTGATGAATTAGTCTCCATGGCAGAGCGGTACAAGAGCTGGCTGGAAAGGAATGGCGGACGTGGCGGTGGAAGAGGAGGTAGAGGAGGTCGCCGTGGCTATGGTGGCTACCGTAGTGATAATGATCGATTCAGTTCTGGTAGCAGCGATCCATTTGGTGGTGGTAGCTGGGGCAACAAAAGACAAGGAGGGTTCAATAGATTCTAGGGAGTGTGGAAACTATCCGTCCATTCATGTACTGCCACTTTGAGTTACTTATTCATGAGGTTGATTTATTTAACCCACAGCTATTTGCATGGCTCAGTGTTGCTATAAAAATGGACCAGTGTATCATAGTAGTGCATTGAGATGCAATTCTAATACAGCAAATATGGTATTGGATTTAATTGTAACGCATTCGAAACAGAACTTTAGTCTTATTTCATATTTGTTGGAAGAGGGTGACAAGGACGGACAAAGGGAGGGGATGTGATATTCATTTGGGGGAAGATTTATACATAGACAGTAGTTTATTGTATGTGGGAGAGGTGGGGAGGGTGGCACTCAGAATCCGTCCGTCTCTTTCACTTCCCTAAAAAATTGCGTTTATCTTTTTCACTATAAACACAATATTAATCAAATCATCAGTTACATATATTTTTGTCCCAGTATGTCATCAAATCCACCATTTTGTTCTTCCCAATTTGTAGCTACTTATGGAGGATTATAAATAGATAATAACATTTGTCATGGCCGTGACTTGGCATTTAAATGTTTGATTGGATGCACCATTGCAAATGTTGAAATGTCTTCTTGCTTGGTGACAATTTTGGGTTCATACGAGCCAATGGCCAAGCGTTCTGTGAAACAACTTTCAAAACAAAGCTATGATCTGCTGATGTAAACTTACAGAATATCTTGTGTACTAAGAACCCACAAATTCTCAATCTGTGTATAAAGCACCAGTGTATTAAAAGTGATCTGATTGTCATCGAATCACTCTAGTCTGTAGTGTCAGCAAATAATATACAAGGACAAAAACAAGAATTCATAGACTGGATCTGATTTTATGTCACTAGTCATCTCGGTTTTCAGCAATGTCTCTTATCATGTCGCTAATTTTTGGCCATTCTAACAAGTCGCACAATCAATGAACATTAGAATTAAAAACCATGTAACTGTAAACAGTTGATTTTAACTTTTTTTTTTAAGTATGTCTCTAACAATTTTTTTCTTTATTTATTTACTTTGTTTTATATTTATGTATTGAGCATTATGTATGTTAATAAAACCATTGTTCATATTGTATTGAAATTTCGAATTGTCCTACAATTTGGTGCATGTATTTTATTTTTAGCTCCGCTGTCGACTTTGTCAAGCGGAGCTTATCATATGACTGATTGTCCGGCGTCGTTCGTGTCAATGTTTTACTTTTTCGACTTCTTCTTGAAAACTACAAGCCTGAATGCTTTGATACTTGGTAAATATGTACCTTGGGTAGACCTCTCTCAGATTTGTTCATTTCAAGATCATATCTTCAATTCTCTAATTTTGGTGAATATTTTTGTAATTTTTGGTAAAAAGTGATATTTTTGACTTCTTGTTAAAAACCGCAAGTCCAATTGCTTTGATATTACATATATAGGTACTACATGTGTATCTCTCTCAGATTTGTTCATTTTGTAATGATATCTTCAATTCTCTAATTTTGGTGAATATTTTTGTAATTTTTGGTAAAAAGTGATATTTTT